TCTATATATATATTTTTTTTTTTCATGCCTTCATCAATACTATAACTCTTCTTTTCCATTTCTCAATCTTTAAAACCACTCCCTTTAATCACGGTATATAAGCTACCCTGCTATCTAAAAAATAAACCTTGCTGGCGAAAAAGGTAACATCTTAAACCTTGCTGGCGACTTGGAGGCATTACAATAGTATGTCCACTTATCGTGAGATCCCACATTGGTTGAAGAGGAGAACGAAACACCCTTTAAAAGGATGAAGAAACTTTTCCCGAACAGACACGTTTTAAAAATCTTAAGCTGAAACTTGAAAGGAAAAACTCAAAGAGAACAATATCGGCTAGTGGTGAGTTTGGGCCGTTATACTTACCTTGTTAGTCTAAGCCAAAATCACTAAATTTTCTAACTCAATGTTAGTTTGATCCAGCTCGTCGAGGTGTTTACTACCCTGATGTTCGTTTCATCATGCTCGTCCAAGTCAAGATGTTCGGTTTCGATGCGGTAAGACCACATGGCTTCTTATTCCTTTTATTTTGTTTTTGCCACCTAGGTAGATAGGTAGATAGGTAGGGTAGGGTAGTTTGGAGTGTATGATGTGTCCCCCACCCCTAACTCTATCTTACCTTTTAAACTAACCAACTCTTTTCCACTTTTCAATTATTTCTCAATCACTCATTGGGTTACCTAACTCCAAACATATCACATGTTCTTCTCTCTCCTCTCTTCCAATCATGCTCTCTTCTCTCTCCAAATCACCTCATTTTAAATTTTTGTCTTAGTTGAGTAAGGCTTAAATTGTTAAGGAAGTTTGAAAAAGTTATTAAAAATAAATGTATAAATACAACTATTTTATGCACGTGTCATGATCTCGACTTCTGATGCTGTCGTCAGCTGTAGAGAGGTTGTCTTTACCAGAAATAGAAGTAGCACGTGAATTGAGTATTTTAAGAAATATTCAGTAAGTGTCGTCACTATTGGGATTAAATGCAAATACATACAATCATAATGGAACTTATCCTTTCAATTTGTATTCTCTTGGTGACTATCCTAAGCGGTAAGTTGGATATGTATTTACTATTCTACATACGGCCTACACGTGCAAGTATGAGCCCACTAGTTGATTCGCACACCTCTTGGGTCCCTTTCCTAGTCAGGCTAGCATTCTCTAGAACTATTGTTGGACACCTGGTAGGAATAGTGACATTGGTATACTCAAATCTCGACAAGCGGGATTCAACAAATATCAACACGAGATATTAGTGACTTCGACTTGGGTCTACATGTAAATGATCTTACTACTAGAACGCCTTCGGGTTAGGTTGGATGGATTGATTTGTTGCATCAATAACATGTATTTCTAGTATGTAATCCATATATGTATGCTACCATGTTCACGTATTTCCCTATGAGACATTTGATCAGTTACATATGTTAAGAATGAATAATATTTCATGTTCACGCATGCATGTCTCATAAGAAAGTTACGTCATGATGTGCATTGTAACGATGTACTATGATTTGAAAATATGGAACCTCGTACATGTTATAGCCATGAGTACATGATACTTCTCCAACATGTGTTGTACGAATGTGCACCTATGATACAATACACACTTCTTTCTTTCTTGTTGGTTTTCGACAACGTGATCGTGTGCTAGTCCATAGTCAAGCCTAGAGATACTTATACGAGTCTATCTAGTGGGTTAATGTACGCATGCGTGAACCATGTGTAGAGAAATATTATGCATCCAACCTTATCTTGAGAAAAAATTAGAGCCCAGAGAATAACCACTAAAAGTAGGTTGCACCATGAATTGAGACATCTCAATCATACATGTGGTTACATTTTTCGACTCTAATAATGAACCGAGACATCTCAAGTATACAATATGAACTTAACACAGTATTGTTAACCCTAAAACACGAGAGAGAGAAAAGAAAAAGATTCCATAAACGTGAGTATGGATGGTAAGAAGATCCCATCAAACAATAAAAGAATTGGGTAAGGGGCAATTAGATAATGTTTGGTAGGTTTTTGCCTATTCCCACTAATGTACATTATTATCATTACAAAACAAAACAAAATTAAATTTTAGCCCTTTGAGCAACCCAAAGGCCTTCTAGAACTCAAACCCCAACTAAAATAGAGTCATTAATTAATTAATACTTTATTCATATATTATAACAAATACAATATGGTTCATCATGTGTTGCCACTGCTTTGCCACTGCTTGACAAGGACAAATCCTTTGTTTTACCTTTCAATTCTTTTGTCATTATGGTTGTATACAAATTAAGTTTGAGAAAACCTAATCCGACCCTTTACTTAGGGTCGGATTAGATGGGTGACTACAGAAATTCGGGTTGAGTTCACAATCCAACCCCCTATTTAGGGGCTGGGTTGAATTGGCGACCGAACCAGAGTGATCAAAATAGAATTCACAATCCAACCTAACACAACCTCCTATTGAGGGATTCGGTTGGGTTGGTGATGAGGGAACCCGAAGTAGAATACAAAATTCAAACTAATCCAACCCTTTGTTTAGGGGTTGAGTTGGATTGATAACCAGAGTGACCTAAATAGAGTCCACAATTCAACCTAGGGGTTGGGTTGAGTGGGTGACGAAAGAAACCCGAGTAAAGTTCACAATCAACCTAATCCAACCCTCTATTTAAGGGTTGAGTTGGATGAATGATGAGAGTGGCCACAATAGAGTTCACAATACAACCTAACACAACCCCCTATTTAGGGGTTCGGTTGGGTTGGTGACCAGACAACACGAAATATAATTCAAAATTCAACCTAACCCTACCCTTTATTTAGGGGTTGAGTTGGATTGGTGACCGGAGTGACTCTAATTGAGTTCACAATTCAACCTAGGAGTTGGGTTGGGTTGGGTTGGTGACCAAAGAAACTCAAGTAAAGTTCACAATCAGACCTAATCCAATCCTCTATTTAGAGGTTGAGTTGGATTGGTGAACAAATGTAACAGCTCGAGACTACTGCTAATAGATATTATCTTCTTTAGCCCGTTACGATCATCGTCATTGGTTGGAGAGGGTAACGAATCATTCCTTATAATAGTGTGGAAACCTCTCCCTAAATGCGTTTTAAAACTGTGAGGCTAATGGTAAATCGTAACGAGCCAAAGCGGACAATATCTGCCAGCGGTGGGTTTGAGATGTTACATCAGAGTGACCCGAATAGAGTTCACAATCCAACCTAACCCAACTCTTGGGTTAGGTTGTCGGGTCGTTCTTCTTTTTTTTTTTTTTTCATTATTTTTTTTTAATCTACTTTTTTACGATACATGCTACATGAATAACTAAAATCTCATAAACTCAAATATCAAACATTCATAAGTCACACTGTATCACTAACATTACTTACAAATATTAATTACTTTTAATATTCATAATAATCTTTAAAATATGGTAGAGTTAGGTTGGGTCAACCCAACCTTTATAGTGTCGGTTGGGTCAACCCAATCTTTATAGTATCGGTTGGGTCAACCCGATCTTTATAATTTTGATTGGGTTGTTCAAGTTAATCGGATTCTCGAGTTCTCAGGTCATATGAATACTACCTTTTTATTAAATATGCACACATAATTCTACCCACTCCACCAAAATTAAAAACAAATGGGGCAAAATTTCTAAACCCTACCCACTAGATCACTCGAGTAAGTGTTCATACATCGTCACGTGTATGTTCATAACGATAACTCTTCTAGAATATGAATATCTTGCTTTCACGAACATGAATTAATGGGTCAGAAACTTGGAAATTAAATTTGTTTCTTAACATTAAGTCTATGTTTGAAATTAAAGAAGTGTTTTCGGTGTATTGATGTTGTTGGACATTGAATATGATCAAATAAATGTAATATTATTCAAACGAGACGAATGAACACGACTAAAGTCATGTGCTAATTAACTCCTAATCCCCACCTACTTCGACAACTCTCTCTTCTTATTCAAAAAAAAATAAAAAGAATGAGACTATTTCAAAAAAATTATTATTGTTAATTTAAGCATAACTCAATTATTTAAGATATTATATTATCGATCAAACGATCAAAAGTTCAATATTATATATAATTACGAGGCATAAAATAAATATGCAGAATTGGGTTGGGTATACTATATTTAATTTATAATGGAACCCGTCTTTAACCCATTAACGAAAAAGAAAAAATAAAAAGATAAGGTCATTCTCGACAAAAGACTCACACCCAAGTTCCATAACTTCGGGTCTGTTATCCGATAATGATTTTCCTACTCCCAGAGGGAAAAGTCCTTCCCTTTATGGTCGGTTGTGAGTGAGGAGGGATTCAAGCCCCCAACACCATGATTTGTAGCCACGTGCTCTAATCCTCTAAGCTACAGGCCCAACCCCGTCTCTACTAGATCTATTCTCGGGAGTACCCTAAAAACATCCATGTGTACGTGTGTGTGTGTATTATTATTATTATGTAATATTATGCCATTTAAACCAAACAAAAAAACATGGCTTATTGGGTTGGGAATTGACACTTTCCACATTACCAAATTCCCTCCACCAATTTTTGTGTTGCAATGGAAGAGAGCCACACAAAATGTCTCTTTTTTTTTTCTTTTCTTTTTATATTAATTATTAATTCACTTTAAATAATAATAAAATAAAAAAAATTGTCAATTCAAAATAAGAATATTGATTGAAATAATAAAATTTATTATGAATATAGCATTTTACCAATTTAAGCATAGCACAGTTGACAAAAAAAAATACTAATTACGGTTTCAAACGTGATGGTTTAATCTGGTGTATATATTATTAATTAATTATTTAATTTATTTTTTACGAGAAAAAAAGGGTAATTATCTTTTATTAAGCAAGAGGATATTATGCAAATAAGGATTTTTTTACATATTTTCTTTATCAAATTTCTTTTTTTTTTTTTTAATTTTTAATTTTTTTGAGTGAATATAAAATTTTGTCAATCTACAATATTTATATATCTACCTTACAATAATTTAATTTTACCTAAAAGTGGGAAACACTTACATTTCTCATTATTCTCTCATATCCCACAACCTGTTTGTGAAAATGCGTCTATGAAGAACCCAGAGCACTTGCCCGGATCCCAAACACCCACCCATACGAGCTCTCGCAATTCCGGCAACACTCGCCGCCGCCGCCGCTGTTCTCCGATCCCAATTGCCAGCATAAGCACACCGACCCAAACGACCTTCTATCTCTCAATCTCGACTCCGCCGAGCTCCCTGGAGACCCCCTTGTTGCCTCCGCCTGAAACGGCTGCAACCCAATTGAGAGCTCCAAATTCAACTCTGTCTTCACATGGGCTTCCGCCGTAGGCAGCGGCGGCTCCATCTCCGTTGTCGTGCCGCTGCCTTCTTCGTCTACTTCCGATGACTGCACGTTGATTGTTGCTGGCTTTGGAATTGGAAGCTCTGCTGTTGGAACAGAGGAGGAGGAAGATGATGAATTGTTGGGATTCCGGTAAGGCAAACGGGTGGTGACGGCGGTGGGTTCGTTGAGAGGGCGGTGGGTTTGTGGATCAATGCCACGGCTAATGAGTTTCCTCTTGATGTGAGTGTTCCAATAGTTTTTGATTTCATTGTCTGTTCTTCCCGGTAAACGACCCGCAATCACCGACCATCTAAATTACCAAAATTCGAAACAAAAGAAAATCCAAATCAGAATTAGATCGAATAAATCTTTAGAAATAACGAATCTACACCATGACAAGATATTGTTCATTTTGAGCTGTATTCTTTACTTAAAACTCATGATAATTTCATAAATTAAAAATCTCAACAATCTCACCGACAAAAAAACGCAAAATTATGGGAAATTACTAACTTGTTTCCAAGAAGGCTATGGAGTTTGATGATGAGTTCGTCTTCATCTTGAGTGAAATTGCCTCGTTTGAGATCAGGGCGAAGGTAATTGATCCATCGAAGCCTACAACTTTTTCCACATCGAAGCAACCCTGAAACCCAAATCGAATTAGTGAATGATGGGGACAAGAGAAAAGGGTATATGATGATGATGATGATGATGGTACCAGCAGCCTTGGGCAGGGTACGCCAACAGCCCTCGCCGTGGAGGCGGATGTAGTCGATGAGGCGTTGATCTTCGTCTTTGGTCCACGCGCCTTTGTTGGTGTGGGCTTTCTCGCAGCACGGGGATCGTCCCATCGCGAACCCGAAAGAACCCGAAAGAGGAAGAGGAAGAGGAAGAGGGAGTTTGAGTAAGAAGGAAAGGGATATATATTTGGAAGAAGGGAAAGGGCAAAGGGAAGTTATATGTGGCTGTGTGTAACCACTAACCACTTGTCTTTCAATCTATCTTACCAACTTGGTCAAATCCCACAACACTCTCTCTCTCTCTCTTTCTCTTCTTTCATAAAGTGTCCGACTTTTTTGCCTCTCTTTCTCTCTCTTGTTTTTATGGCAATAAAAACCTAAACTTTAACAATCATTAGCTTTCTCGAATCATCGATCGAGTTTAAAAGTTTGAATCTTTCGAACGGGTTTGAAATTGTGTTTCGGAACAGAAAGATGGTTTGTATTTGTATTCATTAATGATGAGAATATATGTGTAACAGTCTAAGTCCACTACTAGTAGATATTGTCTGTTTTAGTCTGTTATGTATCGTTGTTAACCTAAAACGTGGGTTAGGGAGAGGTTTTCATATATTTATAAGAAATGTAGAGTGTTTTCATTCGCACACTACCCCATGTTTGACTTTAATATCATTTGTAACAACTCAAATTCACCACTAGCATATATTGTCCATTTTGGTCTGTTATGTATCATTGTCAGTCTCATGGTTTTAAAACGCGTTTGTTAGGGAGAGGTTTCTACATCTTTATAAGGAATGTCCACTGTTCGATGTTTGGCTCTAATACCATTTGTAACAGTCCAAGCTCACCGCTAGCAAATAGTGTCTACTTTGGCTCGTTGTGTATCGTTGTCAACATTATGGTTTTAAAACGCGTATGTTAGGGAGAGGTTTTCATGCAAGGCATTCTCAGCGTTCTAGCTGGCATACCGCTCGATGCTTGTCTCTAATACCATTTGTGACAACCTAAACTCAAACCCACCGTTAGTAGATATTGTCCACTTTAGTCCATTACGTATCGTTGTCAGCCAAGCCCACCGCTAGCAAATAGTGTCTACTTTGCCTCGTTGTGTATCGTTGTCAACCTTATGGTTTTAAAACGCGTATGTTAGGGAGAGGTTTTCATGCAAGGCATGCTCAGCGTTCTCGTTGGCATACCGCTCTATGCTTGTCTCTAATACCAAAGTGGACAATAAGCTCGATGATTGTTCGTTGGATAAGCTCGAGGCATGGGTCGGGCGTTTGGTCGTGGCTATGCAAGTTGGACTGCTAGTGGTCAATTGGGCTGATGGAACTTAGCTTAAGACTCGAATAATTGTGCTGCCAAGGTTGAGGTTCAGAGCTTGGTTCAGTTTTTGAACCTAAGACTTGGATCGGAGGCTAGTTCTTAACCTAAGGTTTTAAAATGTGTTTGCTACGAGGAAGTTTCCACAACTTATAAGGAAAGTTTAGTTCCCCTCTTCAACCGACATAGGATCTCACAATGAGTGAGTGAGAGGGTATAGTTATATGAGAACTACAGAATATCTAGTAAATTCGAGGGAGAGTCAAGAGACGATGGTTAGATTGGTTGAGAGATTCTTCTTTTTAAAATTAAGATTACAATATCCAATATCCAAATTTCATTTTCACGGATATATCGATAAATATCATTATTAACATATATTTTTTGTAAATAAAAAATTTATAATTACTTAAATTAATAATTAAATTGATTTTACTTCCAAACTACATTATACATTCCAAAAGTTATATTTTAATTGTTAAACTATGTTCATATTGACGATGAATTCATAAACTAAATACATATTTCACATTGTCTGTCTATCATAGTCGCTAAGTGATATCATATGTTTAAATACTCCACACGGACATTTAGTTTATATATGGTAACCTCAAAATATCGTTAATAAACACCCTTTAACGTAAATTTAATTTTATAGATGTAATTAAGTAAATAATTAAACGGTTTAATTATAAACTTTTACGTTTATGTCTAATAAGTCTAAACTTTTCAAAGTATTTCATTTTTGTGTTGAATAAGTATTTAACATTTAAATATCTAAACTTTTTGAAACTTCGACCTAAATTTTAAAGACTAAATGTATAGTTTAACTTATGTTTGATACCGTACAGACCCACTAAGAACACTTTTTCTTAATAATTTCAAATGATAATGGAAAAATCAAACGGTGCATGCTAAGAGAAAATGGGAGAGATGTTAGTTTGATTTGGTTTCTTAAGCGGATCCGCTGACCCAAGTGTTGCTCAAAAAGCAGGCTTAGAAGCCACAGTTGGTACTGTAGGTCAGTCATAGTTTCTTTGATCATGCGGAATGAGGAAGAAAAGGAAACTGGTAGCATCGTCGTATGCTCGACATTTGTTGCCGAGTTTGAATGAAAGAAAAAAAAAACAGCATTTAATTTTGCAAAATTTGAACAGTATGAGATTATTGTCTCTCTCATTCCCATCAATAAATTTTGAAGTTTTGCAAAATTTATTATGTGGCCCTTAGAAAGATGCTTACAACATCTTCCTTCCAAGTTCAACAACTTGTGGTACCAACAACATGAATCCAATTAAATTCTTGATATCATTTTTTAATAGCTTGGACACTCAATTTGTTCATGGTATGGAAGACTAATTCCACTAATAACTTGAAGATAATCTTAAAGAAGAACCGAACGAAAGTTAATCATAAATGATAGAAATAATTGGTCAAAACAATGAAATGGGAATTCGAATTTGGAATCGAAAAGGAATGAGAACTTTTCTTGAGAAACGGTGAGCAATGTGTTGGTGTTTAGTGAGCACTCGGGCTTGGATTGCCTCATTTTGCATTACCAACTACGGTTGCTAAAGGTCAGATTTGCACTCGAACTATTTCTTTAAAATTGAAAACGGGAAGCTCCCGCAAGTAATAACTTCAAACTCAAACAAAAAACAGGAGAGGAGAACGAGAGAATGCGTTGGTGTTTAGTAAGCACTCGGGCTAGGATGACCCCATTCCGCTTACCAACTACCATTGCTAAAGGTCAGATTTTCACTCGAGCTATTTCTTTAAAATTGAAAACAGGGAGCTCTCGCAAGGTAACGACCTCAAATTCAAACAAAGAACATGAGAGGAGTACAAGAGCATGCTAGTGTTTAGTGAGCACTCGAGCTAGGATGGCCCCATTTCACCTTACCAACTATGGTTGCTAAAGGTCAAATTTTCACTCGAACTATTGCTTTAAAATTGAAAACAGGGAGCTCCCACATGGTAACAACTTCAAACTCAAACAAAGAATAGGAGAGGAGAACGAGAGCATGCGTTGGTGTTTAGTGAGCACTCAGGCTAGGATGGCCCCATTTCGCCTTACCAACTACTGTTGCTAAATGTGAGCTATTTCCTTAAAATTGAAAACGGGGAGCTCCCGCAAGGTAATGACCTCAAACTCAAACAAAAAACAGGAAAGAAGAACGAGAGCATGGGTTGATGTTTAGTGAACACTCGGGCTAGGATGGCCCCATTTTGCCTTACCAACAGGTCAGATTTTCACTCGAGCTATTTTTTAAAAATTGAAAACGGGGAGCACTGCAAGGTAACGACCTCAAACTCAAACAAAAAAACAGGAGAGGAAAACGAGAGATGTGAAATTACATAAAGGGTAGGGAACGAAAAGTGATTCAAAAGGTTTAGGGTTTGAATGAGGAAAATGAAGGCAAAAACAATGAAGAAAAACACCCAAAAGTGACACAAACTGCCAGAAGAAGATCAATCAGAACACAATTTGAAAAAGCAATAGAGAAGACACATGGAAGCAACAAGGTAGCTAGTAATCTTATCTCCACTTGTTTATTTATACTATAAATTTTAGGTTTTGGAGAGCTCTGTTTGGTTGCTTTTCCACTTCAAACTCGTTCCTTCTTGTGGCTCACAAAGTTTCAAACACATACAAACAAACAATCATACAAATTCCCCCAAAAACCCTTCACCAAATGTATTAACCTTACCTGAAGGTTCAAACTTGGAACCTCTATGATGCCAATATGACCAAGAACTTAGAACAAAAAACGAATTCATTAGAGTTATGACACCGATTTACCTTCAAATCTAATATCATATCTGTTATTTGATTCGTAGAACAAGAAGGTAAATTAATCTCTATACATTGAACTCAAAAAATGTAGGAGTTTGGACTTGAGACTCTCCATGTAACGCCCTAGGTCTAACACTAGCAAATATTGTCTTCTTTGGGCTTTCCCTTTCGGGCTTCTGCTCAAGGTTTTCAAATCGTGTCTGTTAGGAAGAGGTTTCCACATCCATATAAAGGGTATTTCGTTCTCCTCTCCAACCGATGTGGGATCTCACAATCCACCTCCCTTTAGGGCCTAGTGTCCACATTGGCATTCCTTCATTTCTCCAATCGATGTGGGACCCACCAGATCCACCCCACTTCGGGGCCCAGCATCCTTGCTGACACATTACCTCATGTCCACCCTCTTTGAGGCTCAGCCTCCTCACTGGCATATCACCCGGTGTCTAGCTCTGATACCATTTGTAACAGCCTAGGCCCACCGTTAGTAGATATTGTCCTCTTTAGACTTTCCCTTTCGAGCTTCTACTCAAGGTTTTTAAAACACGTCTGTTAGGAAGAGGTTTCCACATCCATATAAAGGGTATTTCGTTCTCCTCTCCAACCGATGTGGGATCTCACAATCCACCTCCTTTTAGAGCCCAATGTCCTCGTTGGCACTCGTTCATTTCTCCCATCAATGTGAGACCCCACCAGATCCAGTCCCCTTTAGGGCCAGCGTGCTTGCTGGCACATTGCCTCATGTCCACCCCCCTTCAGGGCTCAGCCTCCTCACTAGCACTATCGCCTGGTGTCTGGCTCTGATACCATTTGTAACAGCTCAGACCCACCGCTAGCAGATATTGTCCTCTTTGGGCTTTTCGGGCTTTCGTTCAAGGTTTTTAAAAACGTGTTTGCTAGGGAGAGGTTTCCACACCCTTATAAAGAATATTTTCGTTCTCCTCTCTAACCGATGTGGGATCTCACAATCCACCCCCCTTCAGGGCCCAACTCCTCGTTGGCGCTCATTCATTTCTCCAATCAATGTGGAACCCTGCTAGATCCACCCCCTTCAAGGCCCAGCGTCCTTGCTGACACATTGCCTCATGTCCACCCCCTTCAGAGCTCAGCCTCCTTGCTGGCATATCGCCCGATGTCTGGCTCTGATACCATTTGTAACAACCCAAGCCCACCGCTAGCAGATATTGTCCTCTTTGGGCTTTCCCTTTCGGGCTTTTGTTCAAGGTTTTTTAAAACGTGTCTGCTAGGGAGAGGTTTCCACACCCTTATAAAGGATATTTTCGTTCTCCTCCCCCACCGACGTGGGATCTCAAACTCTGGAATATTCATACCACTTGTCAAAGGGCTTACATTTTTGTGAGCCATAAGGAAAGGAGAACAACCTAGTTTTTTAAATTTTGGAGACATGTGGGAGACCCATTTGCATGAAAGAGCACCAATAATTGCTAATTTGACTCGTGTGATGACTTGTAAAGCTTGTGATCTGTGGTTCTTGCCAAACTCATAAGAAAAAGGAAAGAATAAAAAGAAAACAGTCATCAGCATGTGTTATGCTTTATTGGTTGTTGAGCATGTGGGTTGAGCTAAGATACAGCTAAGACAACAAAATGGTTGCACATAGAGAACCTGCTTACTATGAGGGACAGTAGCATTATGGATGAGTAAAAAGAACAATATCTTCAAATCATTTGACATCAGAATGTTATGTTTTTTTTTGCATATACAATGAATGTTTGTGTCAGTGAACCAATTCCAGCAGCTAAAATGACCCCACAAAATCACAGCCTACAAAACTATCCTCTCCACTTACATCAAAGAATATTTATGCGTTCCAATTGCATAATAATACAATGCAAAAATTATAGGTATAAGTAAATTGTGTACCTTTGGAGACCAAAAAAAATCTGTCTGTATGTCCAAAAGATTACCCATTGTTCTTCGTCTTTGGTACTTTGCACATGCAATCTGGCATGGGAAATGTGTACAACGATCCGCTCGACTTTTTCATTTCCATTCCCTTTAGGTCGTTGTGGCGAAGCATGTCTTGCATTTGTTGCGCGAAGTTTTTCCATCTATATGTGCGTTTGTTACCAAATATTAACAGAAACATGTCAATATAACCAGCAAGATACTTCATGAACTAACAAATCAAAACTATGGTGAACATTTCTGGGTAACGATGCAGCACAATGTCAGTTCTTATTTTAGAAAAAAACAAACGAGCTGACCTAACATAACCCGATAATGTGTTACGGGAGGTAAATAAGTGTTAGGAATCACGACTCTCCACAATAGTATGATATTGTCCACTTTGAGCATAAGCTCTCATGACTTTGCTTTGGGCTTCCGTAAAAGGTCTCATACCAATGGAGATAGTATTCCTCACTTATAAACCCATGATCTTCCACTAAATAACCAATGTGGGACTCACTCTCAATAATCCTCAATCCTCAACAATCCTCTCCTCGAACAAAGTACACTATAAGCCTCCCCTAAGGCTTATGGAGCTCTCGAATAGCCTCCCCTTAATCGAGGCTCGACTCCTTTCTCTAGAGCCCTCGAACAAAGTACACCCTTTGTTCGACACTTTAGTCACTTTTGACTACACCTTCGAAGCTCACAATTCTTTGTTCGATATTTGAGGATTCTATTGACATGGCTAAGTTTAGGGCATGACTCTAATACCATGTTAAGAATCACGACTCTCCACAATGGTATGATATTGTCCACTTTGAGCATAAGCTCTCATGGCTTTGCTTTGGGCTTCCCCCAAAATGCCTCATACCAATGGAGATAGTATTCCTCGCTTATAAACCCATGATCTTCCACTAAATTAACCAAGGTGGGACTCACTCCCAATAATCCTCGATCCTCAACAAATAAGTTTAAGTTATCCAAAAGGCAGATATTGAGAGTACAGAACTTAATTGAACCAAATGAAAGCCAAAATATAGAAGTGTGTAAGGCTTCTGCATACCGTATGTTAGGATCATCAAAAGTTAATGCTAGTTTCCTCTTATCTGGTTTGACTGTCTTTGCATGTCCGGCATAAATATAGCGCCTATGACCCATCAAAAAGTGGGGGAAATTTCCACCCTGAGTTGTGACAAAGACTTCACTATGAAGACATACTGTGTAATCAAGAGCAGCCAATCTGGAAGAGTGGCCCTGCATCACAGACCGGGTTGAGCTAAACGATCAACTCGTTTAAACGATTAACCTTAGAATAATTCGACGAAATACCTTGAAGGGAGCAAGTTCTTCCTTAGTAGCTATAGTATCTTTCGTTTCTAAACGTGGAAACATCTGCTTAAGTGGAGCCATATACTTTTCTGCTTTATAAATCTTTCCTGCTGCAACATATATGACAGTTGTATTATCAAAACCCATTCCTCTAAGCATCATTCCGACCTACAATATCATATAAAGGTGAGTTATGAATCAGCAGACTGGAAACACAGGTTTTAGGGAAATGGAAGCATTAAACGTATTGGCTCCGCATAAACTCACTTGCAGGACCAAAAGTTTTCATTGCGATCGATGAAAATCCAGACGTTATTAAGAAATAACAATGACCGAAGGCAGACAAAGCCAACAATAATACGAAATCTTAATGTGATGTCCCACATCGGTTGAGGAGAAGAACGAAACACCCTTTATAAGGGTGTGGAAATCTCTCCCTAGCAGACACGTTTTAAAAACCTTGAGGGGAAACCCGAAAGGGAAAGCCCAAAGAGGACAATATTTGTGATGTCCCACATTGGTTGGGGAGGAGAACAAACCACCATTTATAAGGGTGTCGAAACCTTCCCCTAGCACACGCGTTTTAAAGCCTTGAGGGGAAGCCCAAAAGGGGAAGCCCAAAAGGGAAAGACTAAAAGGGAAAGCCCAAAGAGGACAATATCTGCTAGCGGTGAGCCTGGGTCATTACAAATGGTATCAGAGCCAGACATCGGACGATGTGCCAGCCTTCTCGCTGTTCCCCGAAGGGAGGTAGACACAAGGCGATGTGCCAGTAAGAACGCTGGGCCCCAAAGGGGGGTGGATTTGGGGGTAGTCCCACATCGATTGGAGGAAGGAAAGAGTGCCAGCGAGGACGCTGGGCCCCAAAGGGGGGTGGATTGTGATGTCCCACATTGGTTGGGGAGGAGAACAAACCACCATTTATAAGGGTGTGGAAACCTTCCCCTAGAAGACGTGTTTTAGATCCTTGAGGGAAAGCCCAAAGAAGACAATATCGGCTAGCGGTGGGCCTAGGTCGTTACAATATCTGCTAGCGGTGGGCTTGGATCGTTACACTTAACAAGTAAATGTTCAAATTACCAACAAAAAAGACAAAGAAAAGAGTGATAAAAAGGATGTGTGGCCTAATAATTTTTATGCACAAGGACCATAAATGAAGCAGCAAGATGGCCTAAATCTTGCCCCCAACCTGTAGCATGTTATCAACAAAATCACTAGAGATAGGGAGAAGAATGAATGATCTCTCTAGTTTTGCAATAGTACAAGCAACAAAAACATGTAAATAAAATAGGCAATAATTGATGGCTCAAATAAACTCTACAACAATATACTGGGAACTTTGATTAAAACTTGATCAGCACTAACAGATCTAAGATAGCAAGATGGCTTGAAATTTAGTGAACATTTAACGAACAATGTCATGGTTCCAAATATATGCGTGTGTGCACGCACATGCTCACGCATCATCTATGCACCTCAACTATTCTCACGTGGCAACTTTCCCAACCTTTTTGGGTTTAATTGCCAAAGAAATACTAAATCCTAAGTAGGTAGCCATCATTGGCTTGAACCTATCCCCTCTAAGCCATTTACTATCAACAATGATCCTTCTTGACCTCTAGGTCAACTTTCTAAGCCCTTTATAAGAAAGGATAAGAACTCTTTTTATTTTTAAGTTTAAAAAAAATTTAAAAAAAGACAACCTTAGAACTGGAGAGAGGAAACCCATCCCAAGGAAACTACTTGACAATCGATAATCATCAAGACACTGTATTCTTAAGTTGGAAGGAGAGGTCAGAGGTTTAGGATGCAAGCATTATCCGGAATGATTGGGCAGAGGATGTGGTTGGCCCATTTCGGTTTTTAGCATAGAAGTTATTCAAAATTACCCCAGATTCAGAGCAAAACTCCCATTTACTAAACTACGGGGATACAATTCCCGAAGAATATCGTACTTCGTCTTGCCGTGATTCGACGTGGATTTCCAATTGAAATGAGCTTAAGCTAGGGAGAAGGGATATTTGTTTAGGGTATTTCTTGTATATCTTTCTTTCAGCATTTTTCGATTCCCTCAGCCAATGAGTTTGTTTTTTCATCTTTGTGGAAGATAAAAATTCCAAAGAAAGTTCAATTCATAGAGGAGTTTACACTATAGGTCAGCTTTCGAAAAAGATGTCTACATTATTGAGTCATTTTGTTGCCTTCTATATTGGCAGAGAAAAGTCTTGATCATACTCTTTCGAGTTACGATTTCACTTCGACTGTTCGAAGTCTCTTTTTTTTTACATGGTTAGCTTTTAGTTTGCGCAAAAGCTATAAGGAGATTATTGAGGAGCTCCTTCTCCATCCGCCTTTTTAAGAGAATGGAAAGTTTTCATGGCATGCGGAAGTTTGTAATGTGTTTTGGGGTGACAAAAATAATGTAACGGCCCAAATCCACCGCCAGCAGATATTGTCTTCTTTGGGTTTTCCTTTTCGGGCTTCCCCTCAAGGCTTTAAAACGTGTCTACTAGAGGAAGGTTTCCACACCCTTATAAAGGGTGTTTTGTTCTCCTCCCTAACCAATGTGGGACATCACAATCCACCCCCCTTCGGGGCCCAGCGTCCTTACTAGCATACCGCCTCGTGTCTACCCCTTTCGGGGAACAGCAAGAAGGCTGACACATCATCTGGTGTCTGGCTCTAATACCATTTGTTACAGCCCAGATCCACCGCTAGCAAATATTGTCCTCTTTGGGCTTCCCCTCAAGACTTTAAAACGCATCTGCTAGGGGAAGGTTTCCACACCCTTATAAAGGGTGCTTTGTTCTCCTCCCCAACCAATGTGGGACTTCACAAATAATAGGACCTTTGGAAAGGGATGGAGAGGAACCCTAGTAAAGTTTGGTCCTTTGTTGTGTTCTTTCTCTACGAGTGTTAACGACGAAGACTTTTTATAATTATCCTCAAGGTTTGGCTTTTTTTCGAGATACCCTCATTTGTTCTTAGTGAAAGTTCGATTTATTATTAATCTTTGGAACTATGTTCCATTTTCATCAATAATTTTTTTAAAGAACCAGTGATCAATGTGTTCATTATGTGTACTTTAAGTGATAGTTTCAATCTTCATAGGTGTATGTACAATATACACATTTCATCCTATAGAACAGATGCTTGATTAAGATGATGAAGTCCAGGTATACCTCAAGTGGGGTTAAAGGGCATTTGCCATCCACCCTATTAGCACCAGGCCTTATGACTCTCCCTCTTCTTCTGAATTTTCCTCTCCAGCTCCTTTCTCTAGCCAGGTCCATCTCGTGCTTCTCTTCTTCACCACCATCGTATTCACAGCACGAAAATGCAACCATATCCTTTTATAAGCACAATACTTAGCTTTAAGCATAAACTACATTTGACAAGCAATTTAGTATTCATGAACTAAAAGAAAAGAAACAAACCATGACCAATACCTCTTCGAAACGAAGATGCACAGAAACATATTTTCCTCCACTCTGAGAGCTTTTTTTTATCATTCGACCAACCATGAGGTCGGCCAACGTTCTTATAGATTCTGCAAACCTCAAAGCTTCAAAATTGGCTAAGCATCTTAGTGCTTGAACATCTGGAGGAACTCCATGAGCCAACCGATTGGAGAACGGGGCGATCCTCACAGCCCTACACCACAGAATGAGAAGTGATTATTGTCACCATTTCTCAAATCAAAATCGTATCTTAAGACAAGGAAAACATGCCTCAATTGCAAAAGCTTCGGAAGGACTTTATGCAAATAGTACATTGGGCTTGACCATGCTTTCACTCTCAAGTTCACAATACTGCTTATATTGTTATCATACTGCTGCAGTACATCAGCTGGGAGCTCTCTCACAATATTAACATGCTTGCTTAGTGCTTGTATGAAAAACTCTTCATCGAAAATATCACCGAATTTGCTGTCACAAGTAGGAAAGGAAGGAAACTGCATGAATGGTTTCTGTTCTTCTGGGATTTAAACTAAAAAAATTGCATTTACTTCTGCCATTTTGACATAGAGTTAGTTATCAAAGGCAGCTCGGCACCGGCACCAGGAGCAAACACAATGCCCTGTGCCCAATGGGATGCCTCATTAAAGAAAGCTTTCTAATAATATGGTTTTTACCAATTGGCTGGACATGAAATTTGATGTAAAACTAATCTTCAGCTAACAAAATCCCCATGTTTTGGACATGGAGGACACATTTTGCAGAGAAAATATTAAAATAATAAAGTTGTCAGTCAAGACTGGGAATAAATACATCAAAGAACCAAGATACAAATTAATAAGATCAATATATCATGTTTGAAAAATATGTGTAATTAACAAGGTTATACTTTATTCGACCTGTCCCTATGATCTCCATGTCCTAAATTTTAGAAAATGTCAAGTTCTTACGTCAATGCTTCTTATAGACTAAACTCATTTACATGTACACTTACCTCATCAAAAAGTTACACATACACTTATTTCACTTACTACTGACTATAACCTTTTATACTGTACAATTCTTTTCTTGATATCTATTCAAATTATGCATAGACTGTTGAGTGATTATTGGGAGTGAGTCCCACATTGGCTAATTTAGGGAATGATCATGGGTTTATAAGTGAGGTGTACTATCTCCATTGGTATGAGACCTTTTGGGGAAGCCCAAAGCAAAGCCATGAGAGCTTATGCTCAAAGTGGACAATATCATACCATTGTGGAGAGTCGTGATTCCTAACATGGTATTAGAGCTATGCCCTAAACTTAGCCATGTCAATAGAATCCTCAAATATCGAACAAAGAATTGTGAGTCTCGAAGGTGTAGTCAAAAGTGACTAAAGTGTCGAACAAAGGGTGTACTTTATTTGTTCGAGGGCTCCAGAGAAAGGAGTCGAGCCTTGATTAAGAGGAGGCTATTCGAGAGCTCCATAAGCTTCAGGGGAGACTTATAGTGTACTTTGTTCGAGGGGAGGATTGTTGAGGTGTAGTCAAAAGTGACTAAAGTGTCGAACAAAGGGTGTACTTTATTTGTTCGAGGGCTCCAGAGAAAGGAGTCGAGCCTTGATTACGAGGAGGCTATTCGAGAGCTCCATAAGCTTCAGGGGAGGCTTATAGTGTACTTTGTTCGAGGGGAGGATTGTTGAGGATTGAGGATTATTGGGAGTGAGTCCCACATTGGTTAATTTAGTGGAAGATCATGGGTTTATAAGTGAAGAATACTATCTCCATTGGTATGAGCCCTTTTAGGGGAAGCCCAAAGCAAAGCCATGAGAGCTTATGCTCAAAGTGGACAATATCATACCATTGTGGAGAGTCGTGATTCTTAACATAGAGGTCACATCCCATCGCGTATGTATAAGCTCCAAGACTCCTTCCTTTATGTCATTAAAGGAAAGTGATGTGTAATAATTTAATATCTAAGGGTCAACAAGTTCAAGTGCCAAAAAATAGTCAAAGCATGATATGATAGGAAAAGTGTTGAGGATTGTTGGGAGGGAGTCTCACATTGGCTAATTTAGAGAATGATCATGGGTTTATAAGCAAGGAATATTATCCCCATTGGTCTAAGGCCTTTTGGGGAAACCCAAAGCAAAGCCACGAGAGCTTATGCTCAAAGTGGACCATATCATACCATAATGGAGAGTCGTGATTCCTAACAAAAAAAAGTGAATTACAAAAATGAAAATGGAAGAAAGTGGCAATGAATTATTCCCCAGAGATGAGTTAAAAGCAGGAGGACAAGAAAGGATTCAGATTTTATTAGAGTTTCCCTAAAGATGAGTTAAAAGCAGCAATCACAATGTTTCTTTTGTAATACAAGAAAATCATAGTGTTTTGTTTCCTATGAAAGAAAAATCAGATTGCTTTTCTTTTTAAAATATATACAGAAGAAAGTAATCAATGTTAACTGCACTGATATGGATTTCTGGGAATAAATGAAAACATAAACAAGAAAAAGAAGGAAAACGATAATAACTGGATGAACACGAGTGATCATGCTCCAGTAATGAATTGAAGAAGGATACAGGTAAGGTCATAGATAATATTTTCAATTCATAATTTTCTAACCAAGGGAACCAATTTAAAGAACAATCAAGCACAGAGATAAAATTTTACTGATTTTTTAACCAAAAAAAGAAAAACAAATTTTCCTTCGATTAACGAAATCGATAAAATTATAAATTAAGTAATGGAAAGTTGATTCTAACCTTGAATCTCGCCAAACACTATTCAAATGAAATATTGGAATGACAAGAGAAGCATTCAGTAGTCCAGCCACTGCAACTGCATCACATATCTGTGTGTTGAATGGTTGGAGTTAGCAAATCAGTTATTAAGAACCAAAAATATATAATTTGATTAGATATTTTGCTGGTGGCAATAGCAATCTATATCCCTCATCTCTTTCCCGGCCCACCGCTCTATGAACATAAAGGAAAATCATCATGTCCATGGGAGTCGACGTTGAGAGTGACTGCTATCATTCATAATCACTGAGAATTACAATTTAAGTGATGAAATTAATTGCAAAAAAAATGAAACAGGTTTCTTCCTACTTTTGAATCTGCATTTCAATAATTATATTCAGACTTCACCCCTATTGAAATACTATACCGCTTGTGATGTCCCACATTGGTTGGGGAGGAGAACAAAACACCCTTTATAAGGGTGTGGAAACCTTCCCCTAGTAGACGCGTTTTGAAGCCTTGAGGGGAAGCTCGAAAGGAAAACCCAAAGAGGACAATATCTGCTAGCGGTGGATCTGGGTCGTTACACAAATCAGATCTTAACATTTTAGTATAACTGTCATGATAATTGGACATTTGGACTATGATCAAGACAAATCAGATCTTAACATAAGGATCAGAATTAGTTAGTATGGTCAGAGTGTGTGAGGCAAGAAACCTTGGGATTACGAACTTGGCTAGAAACAGCACTGCCAATTCAAATCATTCTTCTTATAATTACGCATGGACCATAACATTAAGATATCTTATCACAAAAAATTTGAATTGTTAGTGTGGTAAAAGTGTGTGAGGCAAGAGGCCTTGAGATTAGGAACTTGGCGAGCAACAATGTTGCGTTTTTGTCCAAAGTGGCCATCACAGTTCTCTTGGAGCCTGATTCTTTGTTGCAATCAATCATTTTAAGTATGGGCATAAATCTAATGATTGGGAGTTAGGATAGCAATTGGGGGTACTCAGAAAATCTATCTCCCATTATCTGCCCTGTTTTCTCAATTTCATTCATCCTAAGATTGGGGATGCCAGTCTTCTTGTTTCAGAGGACCATTGATTTGAGGGGGTAAGTTCGTTTATCTATTTTCTTGCTTGCAGCACCCTCTTTTTCCAGGATCAGCTACTTTAGGTTTTTCCTTTCGGGCTTTCCCTTTCGGGCTTTTCCTTTCGGGCTTCCCCTCAAGGGTTTAAAACGCGTCTGCTAGAGGAAGGTCTCCACATCCTAATAAATGGTGGTTTGTTCTCCTCCCGAACTAATGTGGGACATCACAATCCACCCCCCTTCGGGGCCCAGTGTCCTCGCTGGCACTCTTTTCTTCCTCCAATCGATGTGGGACCGCCCCTAAATCCTCCCTCTTTGGGGCCTAGCGTCCTTACTGGCACATCACCTCGTGTCTACCCCCTTCAGGGAATAGCAAGAAGGCTAGCACATCGTCCGGTGTCTGGCTTTGATACCATTTGTAACGGCCCCAGATCCACCGCTAGCAGATATTGTCCTCTTTAGGCTTTCCTTTTCGGGCTTCCCCCCAAGGCTTTAAAACGCGTCTGCTAGGGGAAGGTTTCTACACTCTTATAAATGGTGGTTTATTCTCCTCCCCAACTAATGTGGGACATCACACTTTCAGCGCTCGTATATTCTCTTTTAGACTTTCCAGCTTTTCAGTTTTGCATTTTCTTACCCAAAAAGGGAAAAGGGTCATTATCATAAAAAAAAAACGACCAAACAAAAAAAGAAGAATATACACCACCCTTTGATAGTCCGATTGCAACAGATCAACTATCTTCCTATTGACAAACTGTTGACAGCATAACATAGCAGAACTACAGGTAACCGATAGACAGTTAAAGAACATATCAATTTTCAAGTCAAGAAATCGGGAATCTGAATGATCTTAGAACTTCGCGAAATGGAAGAATATAAAACGTGTCCATGCAGTCAACATGTGAGCAATAAGAACTAATAAACTGGTAAAATAGTGAGCACTATATCACATCCACTCTTGAATCTACACTTCATGGTACCATCATTTTTTTTCCCTTCATAGACTTTGCACAAAGACAATACATAAATGCTTTATTCTTGACCATGAACTAAAACTCACCGACAACCTTTGCTGATTTAACCCGCCATTTGCTTCAATGATAAGAAAACCATTCGAGTTTGGCAACTCTGCAAATCATTAAAGGAAAAAAAATGTGAAATTAATTAATAAATAGGTAACTACAAAAAGGGGAGATGGAGATTGTTGGGATGTTGAATTCAGAGAAAAGTTCAACTAAGAAACTAATATAAATGTATTTGGGAACTGTTTTTTAAAAGTTTTCTTGTGTCCTGCTTTTAAGAAAAGCATAAGTTGATATTTCTTCCAAATCACATGTTATCAAATTATGAACTTATAGTAACCTCAACATCATCCGATCATTTATTCAAAACAAACTGTTGTTCAGCCCTCCTTACGAGCTCGGGGGAGAAATTCATAAGCATAAATATAGGAAGTGATAATAAAAATCTGTGAATATTATTGCTGAAAAATGCAAAAGGTATGCTATTTGATGATAGTTCATATATAATTAAAGCTGACAAACTCAGAGGAATGGGAGACAAGGTTGCTCGTAATATCTGTATGTCTTACTGTGTTTTCTGAAGCTTGTGGTGTACTAAAATGCAATAGCTCTCTGAGACTAGAAGTGTGAAGCAAAAAAAAGGTGAGCGTTTTCCTTTGTCGAGCGTTGAATAGAAATATAAAACTGAAGTTTTTATACATACAAGAATATAGCTGTGATGTTCCACATTGGTTGGGGAGGAGAACAAAACACCCATTATAAGGAAGTGGAAACCTTCCCCTAGCAGACATGTTTTAAAGCCTTGAGGCGCCCGAAAGAGAAAGCCCAAAGATGACAATATCTGCTAGCAGTGGATCTGGGTCGTTACAAATGGTATTAGAGCCAAACACCGGACGATGTGTCAGCCTTCTCGTTGTTCTCCGAAAGGGAGTAGACACGAGGCGGTGTGCCAGTAAGGACGTTGGGCCCCAAAGGGGGTGGATTTGGGGACGGTCCCACATCGATTAGGCGGTGTGCCAGTAAGGACGTTGGGCCCCAAAGGGGGTGGATTTGGGGACGGTCCCACATCGATTGGAGGAAGGAAAGAGTGCCAGCGAGAACGCTGGACCCCGAAAGGGGGTGGATTATGATGTACCACATTGGTTGGGGAGGAGAAAACCACCATTTATAAGGGTGTGGAAACCTTTTCCCTAGCAGACGTGTTTTAAAGCCTTGAGGGGAAGCCCGAAAGGGAAAGCCTAAAGAGGACAATATCTGCTAGTGGTGGATCTAGGCGTTACAAATGGTATCAAAGCCAGACATCAGACGATGTGTCAGCCTTCTCGCTGCTCCCCGAAGGGGGTAGACACAAGGCGGTGTGCCAGTAAGGACGTTGGGCCCCAAAGGGGGTGGATTTGGGGACGGTCCCACATCGATTAGGCGGTGTGCCAGTAAGGACGTTGGGCCCCAAAGGGGGTGGATTTGGGGACGGTCCCACATCGATTGGAGGAAGGAAAGAGTGCCAGCGAGAACGCTGGACCCCGAAAGGGGGTGGATTATGATGTACCACATTGGTTGGGGAGGAGAAAACCACCATTTATAAGGGTGTGGAAACCTTTTCCCTAGCAGACGTGTTTTAAAGCCTTGAGGGGAAGCCCGAAAGGGAAAGCCTAAAGAGGACAATATCTGCTAGTGGTGGATCTAGGCGTTACAAATGGTATCAAAGCCAGACATCAGACGATGTGTCAGCCTTCTCGCTGCTCCCCGAAGGGGAGTAGACACAAGGCGGTGTGCCAGTAAGGACGTTGGGCCCCAAAGGGGGTGGATTTGGGGACGGTCCCACATCGATTGGAGGAAGGAAAGAGTGCCAGCGAGAACGCTGGACCCCGAAAGGGGGTGGATTATGATGTCCCACATTGGTTGGGGAGGAGAAAACCACCATTTATAAGGGTGTGGAAACCTTTTCCCTAGCAGACGTGTTTTAAAGCCTTGAGGGGAAGCCCGAAAGGGAAAGCCTAAAGAGGACAATATCTGCTAGTGGTGGATCTAGGCGTTACAAATGGTATCAAAGCCAGACATCAGACGATGTGTCAGCCTTCTCGCTGCTCCCCGAAGGGGGTAGACACAAGGCGGTGTGCCAGTAAGGACGTTGGGCCCCAAAGGGGGTGGATTTGGGGACGGTCCCACATCGATTGGAGGAAGGAAAGAGTGCCAGCGAGAACGCTGGACCCCGAAAGGGGGTGGATTATGATGTCCCACATTGGTTGGGGAGGAGAAAACCACCATTTATAAGGGTGTGGAAACCTTTTCCCTAGCATACGTGTTTTAAAGCCTTGAGGGGAAGCCCGAAAGGGAAAGCCTAAAGAGGACAATATCTGCTAGTGGTGGATCTGGGGCCGTTACAAATGGTATCAAAGCTAGACACCGGACGATGTGCTAGCCTTCTTGCTATTCCCCGAAGGGGGTAGACACGAGGCGGTGTGCCAGTAAGGACGTTGGGCCCCAAAGGGGGTGGATTTGGGGACGGTCCCACATCGATTGGAGGAAGGAAAGAGTGCCAGCGAGAACGTTGGACCCCGAAAGGGGGTGGATTATGATGTCCCACATTGGTTGGGGAGGAGAAAACCACCATTTATAAGGGTGTGGAAACCTTTTTCCCTAGCAGACGTGTTTTAAAGCCTTGAGGGAAAACCCGAAAGGGAAAGCCCAAAGAGGACAATATCTGCTAGGGGAAGATTTCCACTCCCTAGCAGATATTTTTCAGCTTTAAAAAATTAAATTAGACAGCATGCACTGCAAGCAATAAAATTTGACCTACAAGAACGGCGTGTATCACATTATATTACACGAAAAAAATAACACGAGAAACATTGAGAAGTGAGTTTCAGGAATAAGGCTGAATTGAACTATGTAACTTTAGAAATCGGTACTGAACTTAGTACAACAGAATAAGAAGTGTCAAACCTGTCAAAGTGCTTCGATTGATACATGGTTTCCAAACATGGTGCACTCTCGAGTTCCATGCAGTTGACAACTGCAAAACCACCAATCAATGATCATTTGGTCAACCTCTATAGAAATTGTAAACAGAAAATCTCGACAAAAAGACAAATTCATAGAAAAGAACGGCAATTGCCAAAGGACAGTCAATAAATGGATAATGCAAGATTGAACTTATTTTGGGTGAGACGAACAATAGAGTGTTTAGAGAACTCGAGCATTCTCCAAGCAATATTTGGTCCCTTATTCAATTTTGTGCTTCTTTGTTGGCTTTGGTGGCCTAAGAAGCACGGAACCTTATAAATAACCTATGGATAATTGAAAGGTTGTAACTTTCATGGCCATGAATACCTCATGGCCTCTAACTAATTGTAACTTATAATTTAAAGACAATTCCATAAAACTTAAAAAAATACAAGTAAAAGCTTCTTAAATCTAAATCATCCATGGGCATGATTAAGACACCTTATTTCGTATCAGAACCTATCTCAATTTATCATCTTGCAGCAGGTCCCTCGTTTGTGTGGGGGGTTTTTCGTAGTGTTTAGTAGTAGCTATGGAGGGAGTGGGAGCAACCTCTAGCTAGATCTTCATGGATGCCTCTTCCAAAGTTTTATACTTTGGGCAGTGGTTTTAGAAGTTGTTCCTCCCTTTCGATAAACATGATTTTCAGCTTCAAGGGCCTTTGGTTTTGTGGTTGGGTTTATGGGATAATCTCGTTTGTTTGCTTTTCCCCTGGAGGCTGGATGCTATGATCATCAATGTTTTGTTTGGGCTATTTTGGCTATTGTAATTTTTTGGTTGCTTGATTACCATATGCAGCAGTGTCTTTCAAAATCTTACTCACAAATAGCTTCAACTTGGGAAATTCTTTACCCATTTTTTTCTGTACACATCTATATCTTTAAACTATTGCCTTCACATCTATATCCTTCATGCAGACAGCCTTTTGGAAACCATGAACCTCTTCCTATGTAACAGCCCAGATCAACCGCTAGCAGATATTGTCCTCTTTGGGCTTTCCCTTTCGAACTTCCCCTCAAAGCTTTAAAATGTGTCTGCTAGGAGAAGGTTTCCACACCGTTATAAAGGGTGTTTTGTTCTCCTCCCCAACCAATGTGGGACATCACAATCCACCCCCTTGGGGCCAGCATCCTCGCTGGCACTCTTTCCTTTCTCCAATTGATATGGGACCCTCGCCAAATCCACCCCCCTTTGGGGCCCAGCATCCTTACTGGCACACCATCTCGTGTCTACCCCCTTTGGGGAACAACCTTCCTTCCCCTCAAGGCTTTAAAACACGTCTGCTAGGGGAAGGTTTCCACACCCTTATAAAGGGTGTTTTGTTCTCCTCCCCAACCAATGTGGGACATCACAATCCACCCCCTTCGGGGCCCAGCGTCCTCACTAGCACTCTTTCCTTTCTCCAATCGATGTGGGACCCTTGCCAAATCCACCCCCTTTGGGGCCCAGCATCCTTACTGGCACACCATCTCATGTCTACCCCCTTTGGGGAACAGCCTCCTCGTTGGCACATAGTCCGGTGTCTGGCTCTGTTAGATAAAAGTCCCACCATTTCTAATCAAGGAATACTATCTCCATCGGCACGAGGCCATTTGGGGAGGCCCAAAGCAAAATCATGAGAGCTTATGCTCAAAGTGGACAATATCATATCATTGTGGAGAGTCGTGTTCATCTAACACTCATTTCATTACTTCTCATAGAAACAAAGACAATTTGAAACTAGAAAGTGCATTTTCAGTCAACTTTGAAACTATCATTCCCACAACAAAATCAGGTGAAAGAGAGTAGAAACAAAAGAGAGAGCACAAAATACCGCATGTGTGGAGCTATTTCGTGTCTCAACTTCCATGAACGGCCAGAGCTTCTCAAAAACCTGAGAACTCATATACACAGACCCTGGCGGAGGGCGTTTATTAACTGAAACAACCCTGGTTTTGAGATTGGAAATGGAAACGTCGAAATTCACAGACCCCATATACAATAACATCATCGAAATATACAACAAAGGAGCAAACAGAAGTAGCCCTTTCCTTCTGAACACCGCCGACAAAATCAGAAAAACCAATTTCTCCATAATGCTGCCGCTGCTCTGCTTCGGGTCACGAACACTAAAACCAACGGTACCTCTACCACTATCACTGCTACTCAGACTCCTTAGTTGCCGATACCGAGGCGATGACGGTGGCGACTGCGAGAGACTGGAACGCGAAGTGCTCAAGCGGCTGTAGCCATGCATTGCGGAAATAGGCGGTGCTAGGGATTACACAAACCTCTTAATTCTGGAAGAAACAGAAGATCTGAGGAAATTGCCGCTTACTCGCCACATGGAATCGAATCTTCATCATAGTTTTTGGTTTCCCCGTCTCAATTTAGCGGTTCGAGTGCCTGAATTTGCAATTGGGATAGGATGGGTATTGGATTCCGTGAGAAATGAAGGGTTGGAGATGAAGATTCAGAGATTTGGGGCCTAGAATGGCGCAATGGGTATCCTATAATGGGAAGAAACAGGGGACAGGATTCATAAATGGGAGTGGAAAGAGCAGGACGTTCATACAGAGAGCTGGGGATTGTTGGGACTGTTAACAGTTAAATGCAAAGACGATGAGATGCCTTTTCCGTATTTTGTTTAAGAAAAACTTTTTTGAATTAAAATTCAAACTTTTTTTTTTTTTTTTGTTTTTATTGGAAATATTTTCAATTACAATATTTGAAAATGGGTTGAAAATTTAATATATAAAGTTGGTGTCTCTACTTTGTCCAATGCAATCATTTAGCCCACATTATGAAATTAATTGATTGGATTAAGCTGCGACCGGAATGGTATCCTTCTTAATTTGTTGATTCACGGTTTGATATTGTTTTAGTCGTTAAATGAACACGACTCTTCACAATTATATGATATTAGGTTTCATTTTCAATTTGTTGATTCATGATTTGACAATTTTTTAGTTGAGTTTGTTAAATGAACACGACTCTTCACCATGGTATGGTATTAGGTTTCATTCTCAATTTGTTGATTCACAGTTTGACATTTTTTTAGTCATGTCTGTTAAATGAACACGACTCTCCACAATAGTATGATATTATCCACAAAATGCTAAGTTTAGGGTATGACTCTGATACACGACTCTCCATAATTGTATGATATTATCCACAAAAGGCTAAGTTTAGGGCATGACTCTAACACACGACTCTCCATAATGGTATGATATTATCCACAAAAGGCTAAGTTTAGGGCATGGCTCTGATACACGACTCTCTATAATGATATGATATTATCTACAAAAGGCCAAGTTTAGGGCATGGTTGTGATACACGACTCTCCATAATGGTATGATATTATCCACAAAAGGCTAAGTTTAGGATATGGCTTTGATACACGACTCTCCATAATTGTATGATATTATCCACAAAAGGCCAAGTTTAGGGCATGGCTGTGATACACGACTCTCCATAATGGTATGATATTATCTACAAAAGGGTAACTTTAGGGCATGGCTGTGATACACGACTCTCCATAATGGTATGATATTATCTACAAAAGGGTAACTTTAGGGCATGGCTGTGATACACGACTCTCTATAATGGTATGATATTATCCACAAAAGGCAGGACTCTAATACATGACTCTCCAATAGTATTCTTTGATTATAAACGGTGGGACTTTCATCCAAAACCTCCCTTCAAACAAAGTATGTCTCTCCTTAATTGAGGCTCGACTCCTTTTCTTTTGGAGTCTTAGTCATTTTTTACTATGCCTTCAAGGCTCAAAATACTTTTGCTTGACATTTGAGGATTCTATTGGCATGGGTAAGTTTAGGGCATGGCTCTGATACCATGTTAAATGAACACGACTCTCCACAATGGTATGATATTGTCACTTTGAGTGTAATCTCTCGTGGTTTTGTTTTGTGTTTCCCCAAAAGGCCTCATACCAATGGAGATAGTATTCCTTGATTACAAACCTATGATTATTCCCTAAATTAGTCGATATGCGACTTTCATCAAACAGGGTCAACCCGATCAACCTAAAAATAAATTTACAATCCAATTAAACTTTACCCTAAGTTTAAGATTATTAGAAAGATCAAGAATATTTGATGTTTTTTTATTGGTGTTGGTGATGACTTAAGAATGTTTGATATTTGAGTTTCATGAGATTTTAATTATGAATGTATCATGTAATGTTGATAAATATAATTTTTTTAAAATAATTAAAAATAATAATAAATGACCCGGCAGCGTCCATAAAATTTTCAGAATCCAACTCTTCTATAAATATATATATATATATATTTGCATTTTTTTTAATTTACTAGGTTTAAATATCGAACACCTAACCTTTTAATAGATGATATATACTTTAACTAGTTAAGTAAAGCTGAAGTTGGTCAATAATTTTGATGACATACGTGTACCCAATGATAGGTTGTATATATATTAGGAAACAACTTTTTAGGTATAGTAAGAAAGAAACCAACTCTAACAAACGAGGGGCGAGCAACACACAAAGCACGTTAAAGAACCTACAAGCATGCTAATCATTGAGTATGTTTATACTCATTCTTGCTATTTTTACTTTCTAGATGGTAACGAAGCTGCATGACTATGACGATGGTGAACTCGAGCTCAGAAACTTTAAAGGCGTATGGATAAACCTGTGTATAGTTTAAATTACGTGGTATATAGTTGACATTTTATAATATTTTGACTTTTGCTTGTTTCTCGAGAATATTTTGACGTACATTTTTGTAAGTCATGTATTTGTAACTTTATATGGCAGTCGGTTGCTCGATCATCTTAAAAGGAAGGTAGGTACATACATGCCAAATATGTCGAATAATTTTGTTTGTTTTATAAAGTATTTCATTTAGATTAAAATTCCATTATAGGTTAATATAATTGTTATATTAGGAAAATTTAATTAGGGCATTTTCAAATAGAATTTAAATATTTGAAAAAAAAATTAGTAAGGCTATTTCATAATTAATTTGTACTTTCCATATATTTGAATAGAAATGTTATATTAATTGAAATTTTGAATTAGGTATTTATTGGAAACTGAATTTTTTTTCTAATTAGTTTATATTTTTCTTTGTAATTGAATATAAATGGAAAATTAAATTATGAATCTAATAAATTAAAAAATATATTTCATACCATTATTTTTGTGGATAATATCTAATATTTTTCGATAATCTACTCATTATCATTTCAATAGTCGATACTTCAATCTCCCTTCCTTAAATAAATTAGAAGAGTAGGTTACGTTGTGGTGCTCGTCACGTGTGAGAAATGAAAATGAGTTTTTGTTTTATTATTATTATTATTATTATTATTATTATTTTCCTCAACCATGATAAGGTTTATTGGCAGTTGGAAATAAATTCTTAAGCTAATTTACTTTCTGATGGAGAAAAAAAGTAGTTCGAAAAGTGGAAATTCAACCTTTTGAGTTGTAGCCTGTGATCAATATAAATATATTTCATAAAAAGGATAAATATAAACCAAAAAAAAAATAAAAAAAGAAACCAAAAGATTCAAACAAAACCGAGAGCAAACCACATGATCACGGAAAGGTAAAATATTTGACTATAATAAAATAGTAAAATGATACCTATGGTAAACCGTAATAGAAGGCTAAATATCATATAAGATATTTGCCTATAATAAAAAGTCAAATATAAAACCATAATAGAAGGTTAAATATCCACCTATGGTAAACCTTTGTAAACCGTAATAAAAGGTTAAATGTCATATGAGATATTTGCCTATAATAAATGGTCGAATATGATATCTATGACAATCCGTAATGAAAGGCTAGATATCCACCTATGGTAAACCGTCATGGAAAGTTAAATATCCAATTATGGTAAACCGTAATGGAAGGCTAAATATCCTTAATCATACACAATATTTACCTATAATAAAGGATCAAATATGATACATATGATAAATCATGATTCAAAGCTATCGGATCACTTTGAAAAGAAAAACAAACCAAACTCCACAGCCCTGTAAAAATATCACTGTTCTTTGATTCACTGTGAATAATTCGAGGGCTTTATGCACAAATAAGAGATGACAGCATCATTGTCTACTTTTCCACTAATCTCTTCGCAATTGTTTGATTTGTAACAAAGTGCAGTAAATGTGCATTATAAGAATTTCAGTAAAACCTATAGATGATACAAATTTCATACGAAGCAGAGTCCCGAATTTACAAGGTATGCACAGAGAGAACTTCAATTTCCTAAAGAAATGATACACCACTGGATCCCCTTATTAGATATGGAGTATTTGCAGTCACAGACACAATGGGGGAAAGTTTAATGAGGCATACAACAGGATGTGTTCTAGGCATTAGCACTTACATTTTTACTGCTGTCAAACACTCTGTCCAGTTGAAAAGCTTCACCTTCATCCCCATTGAAAGACCTTCTTACCAAGCAGCAAGCAGTTAGTTGTCTGAGTAGCCGTTCGAGATATGGATGCAAGCAACTTTGTAAATCTTTCACATTGGGATTAGTTGACAAGACCATGGCGTTCACCGCGTCGGCTAAAATTTCACGCTGTTTATCCTCGAGAAGATAACCAACAGGGGACTCTTGTGGTCGTTCATATGCCAGTAAAGCAACAGTGTCCTGGATAAAGGGAGTTCAGCCGATCTTATTAATCTATATGGAGACAATAGCCAGAAATACATGCACTACAAATCTGTGTTGCAAACGGAAAACATCATTCCTAAACAAAGTTATTTTACACAACTCAGGTAGATAACTTTCCAAAACATCAATGATAAGGAGACCTAAAATGATTCCACATTTCCTACATGGAAGAAAAAGCTCAGTACCTGAACAAGATCCTGAAACCCAGGCAGATCATAAAACTTTGCTAAATGATTCCTTCCAAACTTAACAGCTTCCTTTAGCGCTCCAACCTACGTATAATAACAGCAGGAAACTCATAAACGATCCAGAGATTGGATTTTGATTGGAAAACGTGTGACATTCACATATTTTTAGAGCGAAAAAGTACCCTGACTAATTCAATGAATTTTTGACAATGAAGGAGCAAGGAAGTAGCTGATTTTTCATCCTGCACGAAGCAAACTTGTTATCAAGACAATAAATAATATATCTTCGCAAGAAGATTGTACTAGACTTGATCAAACTAGGATACAAGGAATTGAAAATCTAGATAAAAAGAGTGAAGTCTTGGATATATATTTGGCAATATGGAAGAGACTAAAGAACAGAAAAAATGATGTATTGGTATCACATAGCTACAATCCGAACTCTTGAATTATTTTCTCTTTGTGCTGCACTAAGGACTCCTCCTTAGTCAGCTTACACTTGGAGAAATAAAGGGCACTTGTAAAAGAACATAATTAAAAGCATTACACAAAAACACCCACAAATCTCCCACCTAAATCCAATATCAACTGCCGAAGAGTGTGTGCTTCCTCTATCTTCTCACTCCCTAACTCAAGAACGAGTTGTTTTTAGGCAGAGGGAATTGATGCAGCATGGTCTAGCCTCTCGCACTTCGCTTTGGTCCTATGGCTCTCGCTCTCTGCCTCTAGTTTACTGTGGAGGTTTTACTTTTGTTTTGTTAAGTCACTGTGTTATTGTGTATTGTTTTACCGTGACTTAAGCTGTTGCCAAAGGCTGGAATGAAGCATTTTAACTAGGGGTCCCTACTGAGATATTATTGAATAAAGAATCATTCCAGGAAACTTCCAATATTAGTGTTACATTAGAAACCATACATATTCGTGTATTATGTGTTTTGCAGACAATAAAACAAACGAGAAAAATTGAATTAAACACAGTTGGTTCACCTGTACAATCTGCGGATACCACTCATTGAGCTTTCCAAGTGCAGCATCAATTTCCCCCTTCCTGATAAGCTTCATCAACAGAAAGAAACTGATCAAAAGCAAGGTTCTATACTAACTGATAGATTGACATAACTCGTTAAATTACAAGCAGCTCCCACCCTCTCTCCAAAAGGTAACAATTATTACATTTGTTTTCTTGTAACACAAAATTAAGTGCTGTGATGGGTGGAAGAAAGGGACTCTGCTGAGAAGTATTATACTTGTTAAATTGAATCTGATTGTCGTATAAACAGATAAAGGACACGCATTAACTAAACCCTATACCTAGCGAGATAAAAGGGGCTGACAAATTGGCATTCAACGGGAAATTACAAAAGCATTAATTTCAACAATTATAAAATCTACAATGCGCATCCATTATGGGAAAAAGGGAATCTGACTCATTGTAAAAACAAGGCCACGCATTGTAGGCAAAGGCAAAGAGATTTTTTTCTATTCTCAATTAACAAGAATTTCTTTCGTTCCAGTTTAAGAGATAATTTATCCTTTGTTACAAGCATGTAAGTAAATTTGGTTCGGTTTTGAAATCCCCAACAAATCATCTACCATTGACCGTAAGTTTGTGACATCTCCGTGGAGCTCTAGGAATGTTGGCTGGTCTTCTTTAGACGATGAAGGTACCTCAGGTGAGACTCTCATTAGTGCAGAATGATCCAACCATAAATGCTATCGAAGTCATTGAAGGTATTTATTCCCTCTCTCCATTTAATTATGGCTGAGTCGTGGATTAGTGGGGTTAATGGCCCATATTGCTACAAGAAAAAAAAATCTTTTTATGAAGGAACTAGCAGATCTATTTCTCCTTTGTAAGCCAAGCTGGATTGTAGGGCAATTACAAAATCATCAGATGGACCAAAGAAAAATTATTTCCCAACTATCCAACTCAATGGATGAAAAGATTTAATCGCTTTATTGAACAAGCCAACCTTACTGGCATCGCTATGTGCAATGGGAGTGTTAGTTGGTCTAGTTGTCAAGACTCATACTCTTATTGATAGGTTTCTTCCCACAGATGAAGTCAGCTTCAAATTTTCAGGTTTAAATGTTTGTAGATTGGAAAAGTATACATCTGATCATTTCCACATAGTCTATCATTAGGAAATGAAAAGTGGGGCTTGGTTCCTTCTAGATTTGTTGATGCCTCAACCCCCCCATATTTAACCCTTTACTGGAAAATTGATGGAAGTCTCCTCACTGCAATGGTTTGCTCGGACAATTGACATTGTTTAAATCTGAGGTCAAGAAATGGAATAAAATCATCTTGACAAACTACAGATCAGAAAGCGATTCTCTCCAAAGAAATACAACTGCCTAATGGAAAGGAAGAAATGGGTTCAATTAGCTCAGAAGAACTTCAGAAAAGACTTGATAATAAAGGGAATTATCTTTCCCTCTGGCTCAAGGAAGAATCCCTATGGAGACAAAGATGCAATGGAAAATGGCTTGCTGAAGGTGATGTTAATTCAGTTTTCTTTCATAGACTTAGAGTGGCCAAGAGACGAAAAATTACTATTGTTGAGATCCATTCTTCAACAGGGGTCAGTCTTCCTAATGACAATGAGATCGAAGCTGAATTCGATCTCAAATTAAAGTTCACATATTAAGTTCAGGGACCAAAAGTAATTATTAACCCTATAACAACTATTGATAATTCTTTTTCTTTTTCATCAAAGAATATTCTTTTCTATTTCGAATAAAATATTCATCAGTGCTTCAAAAAGGAGGGCAAGAAAACATTGTGATAAAGTCACATTTCTGAACAGTTTTACACAAATTGACAAAAAAAAAAAAAAAAAAAAAAAAAAAAAAAAAAAAAAAAAAAAAAAAAAAAAAAAAAAAAAAAAAAAAA